GACCCTGCGTGCAGTTCTGAGTCTCTGTTTTCCCATCAGGAGCTCCAGCAGGGCCACGGGGCAATTCTGAGTCTCAGGTCTTAGTTTAAGTCTCTTTCGTTGTGTATGCTGGCATAGTCAGGACCTCCCTCGTAATATTTCCATCATCTTCATTATGTCCATTTCTTCTGGAAGAAGGGGTTAAGATGCAGGCTGAGGAGGAGGGATGCAGTGGGAGGTTGGGGTTAGCAGAGGTAAGCTAGTAGATATAGGATGGAAACACAACAAGGTCCCACTGAATAGCACAGGGAACTATGCTCAGTAGTCTGTGATAAACCATGATGGGAAACCAACATATAACTGCATCACTTTGCTGCACGGGAGAAATTAACACATTGCAAATCAACTACACTTCAATTAAAAAAAAGATACAGGTTAAAAGCAAGACTGGCTTTGTTCCTTCCAGTGGCTATCCCCCTGGCCCACTATCATTCGAGTCAGGATAACTAATTTCTAACTCAGCCTCTAGTCCAGAGACAGAGTTATAGTTACTGCTCATGACTTCATTCTTAGATTTTATCTCTGAGGAGGAAAAAAGCTCAACTTCAGGCGACACTTAAAGACATGTGCTGGCCTCTGACCTAGGTTCAAAGGGCTGTGGCCGAAACTGCTATGCTGTCGTCTAGGACCGTCTTTTTTTTTTCACCTTTTGATGGTCTCACAATAAGAAAAACATTTGACATCACAATCCATGCGCAGCTACATGTCTGGAATGTATGTGCTTGCATGCATACAAGGCATATACATATATATGCATGCTCCCTACACACACACGGCTAGGAGAATGGAGGCGTGCGTTCCTCTAGGTTAACGTGTGTGAAACAGAATTCACAGAACCCACCGCCTCTTTGGCAGAACCACTAACGGAACCTCTCGGAGCCAAGGCAGCAGCTCTGAAAGGTGTCAGTCACCGATGGAGAACTTCAGCTTGATTATTGGCTGGGGGCCCAAACCTTCAGGTTCTCAAAGGTCAGCGCAGCAATCTGGGGACTCTGGTCTTCTCGCCCAGGGAATTAAGTTTTGAAACAACACAGCAGACAGGAGCAGTCACTCAAATGAAGGCTGGCTTTCAATTGTCTGAACCCATCAGGCAAATAGGCTGCCTGCACATCCAGGGCTGTGAGCCCTGAGGATGTGGCTGGAAGGCCTGGGCTCTCAAGCCTCAGGGCAACTAACGTGCCCCGTTCAGCCCGTGATGCACAATCCTGAAGTCCTCTGACCTTGCAGCCAGGACTGGGGCCGGGCTGACCTCTGCAGTCTCCCGACATTTCTCAAATAGCCCCTGGGGGTGGGAGGGGCGAGTCCTGTCAAGTTAACTAGACTTTATGAGGAAATTACGGGTTTGGCTTCTAAAAAGCCTGTGACGGTGATGGTTCAACATTGAGAGAAGTAGCCTTAGAGCCGCATCAATATGAAAGGCAGTTGGAGTCTAAAACGTCAAATAACTGATCTGAGTGACTGCAGTCAGAGAATGGTCTGGTTGTTCCCTAGTAACTGGGATGCTCTGGCGCATCGTCGGTGAGGTCTGGGAGATGAGGTGCGACCGGCTTGCCTTTCAGTCTGGCTGCCAGCTTGTGGGGGGCGGAACCGCTGAGTCTGCGGTTCCCTGGGGCACAGAAGGGACAGGCGTGAGAAGCAGGTCACAGCAGGGTGCTGGCACACCGCCCTGCGCCCCGTGTCAGGCAGGCACGCCCCCTCCTCCTCCACGCACTGTCGGCTGCAGCCCAGTTCCTTCTGCCACAGCTGGGGAACCGGCCCTGGGTTCTGACGACAGCTAACCCTCGGAAGAACCCTGCGATGAAAGGCCAGCTTCTGTCTGGAGTTGCTTGCTGCAACTACTGAGTTGCTAATAGAGACCTGACAGGTACCGCTCAGAGGCTGCCCCTAGAAGAGGTGGAAGTGCCCTTGGAAATAAGGCATTATGGAGGCAATGACCTGGACCAGGAGCAAGATGGGAGGAGGAGGGACTGTAGTATCAGCCAGAGCGGTTAAGACGGGAAAGTGGACACCCTGTGCACAGACAGGCCAAATCACGTGTGACGAGCCACCTTAAAATGGACATCTTTTAAGCCACATGGACACCTTAGAAAATTTCCTGCTCACTTTTCCTCCTTACATGTTTTACACCACTGATTAAATCAGCAATGATTACTGCTATCATTCATCCAGTGCTTACCATATGCCATGCTGAGAATTTTCCACACATGACTTCACTTAATCTTTCAACAATTCTATGAGATGGGTACTATTATGATCCCATTTTAACAGAGGAAAAATAAGGCCCAGGCAAGCAAACTACACATGTTACACAGCAAGAGATTAGTTTGAGCATCAGGTCTGGCCACGTCAAAGGCTCTGAACTACCCTATGTCTCTGGCAGGAAGTGCAGTGAGAGGAGAGTCGTGTAAAGTAATTACTGTGATGTCTTGGGTCACAGCTGTTATTTAATCGGTAAGTGCAGTACTTATATGAGGCACGTGTGGATTTATTCCACGGATCCAGGTTTGAAATGAGACCCAAGAAAGCAGAAGGCACCATCTCCAGGGCTCCGTTTACACTCATAACTTGCTCTGCCGTCTCCTTAAAAGAACCATCAGCATTCCCTGTAGTGATAACTACCAAACCTTTCCACTGCCATTTGCAGTGATTAAATTTTATTCTGAAACAACTTTTATGACATTTGTAAGTAATTTTGTTCTTTGGCTATAATTTGAATAACTCCGCTCCAGGGTTATAATAAAGTAATTAATATGTCGGGGCGGTTTTGAGCAGGATTCAATTTATTGCCTCTGTAAACAATAAAGTGAAACATGGGCAACTTGGAGGAAAACGGTTAAGACGTGTTCATTTTTCTCCTCACACAGAAAGGAAGAAACTGACTTCCCTGTACTTCTGTACCAGCCCTCACACACTCAGGATGCACGATCATGGGCTTCCCTGGAGGCCCACTGGTTGATAATCCACTTTGCGAAGGTGGGGACACCGTTCGATCCCTGGTCTGGGAGGACCCCACACTCTAGAGCCCGTGGTCTGCAACGAGGAGCCACCGCATTGAGATGCCCGTGGACCACGCCTGGAGAGTAACCTCTGCTCGCCGCAACCGGAGAAAGCCTGCGTGTGGCAGTGAAGACGGAGCCTAGCCAAAACGACAACAATAACCTTAAAAGCTGAAAAAGAAAAGCATGTGTTATCACGTGACTCACTCCTCTGGCAAGAGATAGGGATCCAGCACAGGCGGGGTGGGCGAGGACATCTTGGTAAGGGCCATGATGTGCTCAAAGGTGATGTCTGTCTGAGTTCCCGTGTCCACAGTCTGTGACTCTGATGGAGGAGTGAACATTTTGGTGCGTGGTGTTCTCCTCAACACCTGGACCACGATGGGTTCCTTGGCTGTCTTGAAGGCTTCCACAGCCTGGTCGTGAGTTGCTCTGGATAAGTCTTTGCCATTGACCTGTCGGAAAATATGAGAGGGTTTAGAGGATTATAACTAAGCAGATTTTGTTAAAGATGAAAAATTGTTTGAATTTAACAGCATTATCTTTTTTTTTTTTTCCCAGTAGCCATGTATGGATGTGTGAGCTGGACAACAAGGAAAGCTGAGCACTGAATTGATGCTTTTGAACTGTGGTGTTGGAGAAGACTCCTGAGAGTCCCTTGGACTGCAAGGGGATCCAACCAGTCCATCCTAAAGGGAATCAGTCCTGAATATTCATTGGAAGGACTGATGTTGAAGTGGAAGCTCCAATACTTTGGCCACCTGAGGTAAAGAGCTGACTCATTGGAAAAGACTTTGATGTCAGGAAAGATTGAAGGCAGGAGAAGGGGATGACAGAGCATGAGATGGCTGGATGGCATCACCGCCTTGATGGACATGAATTTGAGCAAGCTTTGGGAGTTGGTGATGAACAGGGAGGCCTGGTGTGCTGCAGTCCATGGGGTCGTGAAGAGTCGGACATGACTGAGCAACTGAACTGAACTCAATTAAGCAGAAGCTGGGAAGATGGTTTTTGTGTATAAGCAGCTAAAAGGAAAACTTGGGGGTGTCAAGAACTTCACTGCTTAGTGTCAGGTTCCCCAGGAATGCCTGGTGGGAAGCGGGTGAGTGTGGAGGTGCGCAGATTAGACATGAAACAATAAGCCTCATGGTGAGGAAGGCTTGGCTTCCTACTGGAATGTCTTTACACAGTTTCACCCCCTCCTAGTCTTGCCTGTGAGAGAAAGGAGCGGCCTCGGGCTCCAGCCTTAATCGTGCCATACGAGCTATTAATAACTGGGCATTAATTAATTTTTCCCTTTTAGTGGTGTGTATTTTCCCAGTGCGTGTCAGGTGAGATTAGTTTTCCTTTCATGGAAGGGATGTGACATTTCCTTCTTAAATGAATGCCTTTGCTTTTCCTTAAAAAGTCAATTGAGAATATTAAGTCAGTGATAATCAGGCCGTAGGTGGATACGGCAGGGATCAAGGAGGAGCTCAGATGACCGGACGCTTTGACTGATGTTAGGGAAAAAGCACCTAGCTTCACCGCTCTGCTGTGCAGAGTCCTTTGCTGTGGCTGCCTTTCCTGAGTGCCCACTGTCTACTGCGTCCTGAAATGAAGAGGCCTCTGAACGCTTTTCTCATCAGTCTTGGGAAGGTAGCAGGACCAAAGCATGTTCATGTCCCTCCCCTTACAGCCACAAATAAACCACATGAGATGACCTTGCTAGTTACTAATGGGCCACAACTTCGGATGCTGCAAGCAGGATTCTTTCCAATGGTAGAATCCAAACTAACCGAACATGGTTCTCTTTAGAAGAGCTTACAGGAGAGGAAAGAGAAGCCAGAACCTTACATCTAGAAAATGAAGTCATTCCCAGCAACATGGAAGCGTGACTGTTTCATTTACCTTCCCTGCCCCAGCCCCCACGGCCAGGAATGTGACGCTGTGCTCTGATACTTTGGTCCAAGGATTGCACGTGCATGACAGTTCATCAGACTGGAATATTTCGGTCTCACCCCAAGAAGTTGGTCTACTTTTTAAAGTCAGGTATAAAATGACGGTCTAAGAATCATATTCTATAGAGTGCATGTTAGCAGGAGTTCGCCAGAGTCGCAGATCTTTTCTGGACAGCACCACAGACAAATTCATGTCATTTGTTTATAAATGCCCAAACCAACCCTGAACCTTGCTTCTCCTGCCTGGCTTCTACATTTCCGCCCTCAGCAGCATTTACTTCAGAGCATACAGACAATTAGGTCCATCCTCTGAGGTAGGCACTTCAGTCTCTCTGTACCCAAGCTGCACATGAATACTGACGGTGCAGCGGTTTTTCTATTTTGTTCTCAGCCCTTTCACTCCGGCCCTACGGGGACGGGAACTCTGAGGCTGAAATGCCTTGTAAACAACTGTTAGGTTGAGGAATAGATGTCAGATTCTTTCCTTGTAATGAAGCTCAAATGAATCACGCCAGTGGAGATTATTAATGATTTGGAGTCAATCCACTTAAGTAATTTACTATCATCATAAGGGAGTTAGGCAGAGCAGGAACTCCGAGCTGTGAAATGCCTCGAGTGCACCAGTAAATAAGTCAATGGCTGAACCATCAAAGTCTTACAGTCCCTCATCCTGAAAGACGGGGAAGCCAGGATTTAACACCACAACTGTCTTCACTCTCCTTCCACTGAGGACAGAATGAAAGGACACGGAGGAATTCTTGCTAGCTCTCCAAACCGGTTGAGCACTGTGACCCCTTCCCTGCTCAGAGCTGAGAACTGTGAGGGCCCACGGATGAGGTAGAGGGGATGAAAGTCAAGTCGGAATGCTGAGGCTGGACTGTCTGAGCCATATCTTCCATTAATGCCTCACAGCTAGAGTCAGATAATAAAGGAATTTATGTCACAGCAAAACTTGTCCCTGGATTCTATTAATGACACATCACAGCACCCTTAGGAGATACTGGTTTGGCCATTGCCAGCTCTCCATGCTGGTGACGGCTGATACTAAAGGTAGTTTTACTCACAGCAAACTCAAGATAGTATGACTTTTGAATGGGCTCTGCAAGGTATGTCAAAACTGTGCTTTCTCTATAATACAAGGACTTTTGCCAAAAGGGAACGAACATGGGATTTTCTTCTAAGGAGTCTTCAAATTGTGTCTCAAAAAAAGCCATCCTGGGAGCCTTTACTTTTTACCCACGTAACAAGGTCTTGCAAATAACCTCAGCAGAAAGGTTAGCTGCCTGATAAAAAGTGTCTCTCCTTGTTCCTCCTGCTTCCTCTCTGCCAGCAGAGCTTGGATTGTGTTTCCTTTCCACTAGATCAGACAGCATTCCCCCTGGGAGAGGCCTGAGGTGTGCATTTAATTGGCTCTAGCCTGTGTGGAGGTCTGGTTTCTTTTGCTTAGTGATGGAGCTGGGTCTCTGAGGCCAGGTTAACATACTGAGGGATGCAAAGAAGAAAAATGGAGAACTGGCATCTCCTGACGACTCACTGAGCAAATGAACGGCCTAAGCTTAGAACCTCTTAATCTCAAAGTTCTTGTCACATTTGAGAACACAGTCTTTATGCTTTAGGCCATTTTAACTTGGATCTTAACTCCCTGCAGCCCAGAACACCGATCGGTGCAGCTATCGCACAGATGTTTTGGAAAGTTACACAGGGACGTCTTATTTGTTCCCATCGACATTCCCCTGGTCTGTATAAGACGGTGAGTGAAAATGCTTTTCTGATAAGGAGTGTATCTTAGTAAGCCTATTTTTATAGGAAAGTGATGGCATCTGCTGCTTTACTTGTATAGGTGTCAGGAACCAACGCTAGAACTACTGAGGACGTCCCTGGTGGCTCAGGGCTAAAGAATCTGCCTGCCAAAGCAGGAGATGTAGGTTTAATCCTCGAGTGTGGACGATCCCCTGGTAAAGGAAATGGCAACCCACCCCAGTATTCTTGCCTGGGAAATCTCATGGACAGAGAAGCCTGGCAGGCTGCAGTCCGTGCGGTCGCAAAGAGTTGGATATGACTTAGCGACTAAACAACAAAGAACTACTGAGCAGATGCTTAAATGGTACCTAGAAAGTGAAAGGAAGGACTCTCCTGCATCAGTCTATGCTAAGATTCTCGGCGACAAAGAGCTGCCCTGTGTCTGGGAGCACACTTACAAACACAAGAAGGCTTTTCTGAATCTCTCTGACTTAGGATATTATTAAAAGGCATTGATGCAAACCCACAACATCCCCATGGTCTAAGATGCAGAGAAAGAAGAGTGGCAAACCCTCTGGGAAGCCAGGAGCCTGAGGGTGACTCTGAAACGTCCTCTCATCACCCATCAGATTGTCACCCCTGCTCACGACTGGGTTCCACAGAAAGAGCACTGGACCTGATGGAACGATTTCAGCAGCCCTCACGTGTATGTTAATCAGGCACAGTTCAAATATGCCCCCTCCACAAGCCAGGGGACCCGCTCTTGTCTTACAGCCCAGGGCTGGAGTGCCCCGGGTCCCAAACTATGGGATCGGACCAGGGTTAGAGACTGTTGTTTTGGACCATTTATTCTGAGTCTGTTTCTTCATGTGCAAAATAAATGTACTTATAGAGTTATGCCTCTTAGGGTTATTATAAAGTTTAATGAGATAATCTACTGTACAGCCGAGCATGCACATGATAAGAATTTACTGATACCAGGGCTAATAGGGATCCTACCCCAGAAGAGCCACATTTTCCCAGGAGACAACAGTCTGCAAATCAGAGAAGCAAAATGCAGCCTGCTTAGGTAGCCTTAAAGACACATTAGTATACTGAGGGGCTTCTTTATTTTTCAGTGAAGTTCCCTAGCCCAAATGTTTCTGAACTGCCGACATACATAGTAATGTTTTCAGTCTGCAGGCTGGAATTCTCTGTGTGTGGGGGTGCAACAGATAAATTCTACTGGACTTGACCCCTGCCACACAAACTTCCTGACAAGCTATTGCAGGCACTGGTACATTCTTCTAAAAGAGGACGAGATGAGGCGGGACTCCACTCTCCTAGACAATCTATTTTTGCAGCCAAATTTGTTTTGAATTACCTTGTGCACATAACACTTATTACGCTGTCATCTTGGAATCACATCAGTGAGAGACTCGGCGAGGTGATAACTCGGGTGCACGCCGTCAGCCGACTGAGAACGACAACCTTTATTCCTGGGATTAGCATTACATGTACATTACGCCAAACGGCGACGATGATGGCTGCAATTACGGGCGCGATGCTCATCCCGTGACGTTTGGCCCAGTCAAATTAAATATCATTAACTCGCCCAATTGAGCAGATTGCTTTTTAAAACAGTTTATGCGGCTCTAAAACCAAGTAAATGGAATGTTTTGGAAAGAGAAATGCTGATGGCAAACTTTATTATACATTAAATGCATAAGTTATTCACCTAGGGCTGAGGATGGTCCCCTGGGACGGAGGTGCAATTAGGGTGAAAATCCAGTCAGTTTGTCTCAGGGCAAAAAAGCGCTGCTACAAAATCTGACAGGATGCTGAGGGAACTTACAGAGGTCCCCGAGCTGGAGATCTCCAGGGATGCGATGCTGCAGGCATGCAACGATTCCTTCCTGGATGCATTGAAGCCTGGGCAGCGTGACTGTGGCTCTTTGAGGCACCCACAAGTACGTATTCCACGGCCCTGAGAACTAAAGCAAAGCTGGGGTGTGCCTCCATTTGGGGGTAAATCTCACTGATAGTCCCCCTGTCCATCTTTCATGCATTCATCAAGCATTTACTGAGGTTATTTAGTGAGCCTTGCTCCCCTCTTGGCTGCAGGGACAGCACTTGGAAGAATTTCTTGGGGAAAGATGGCACGGGAGAGCCACTGATGAAATGCGCTGTGGGTAGCATTTCCCCCTGGCATCTACGGAGGGACTTGATCTGGCCGAGGAGGCAAGTCTACACTGGAACACTAAGCTAGTGAATTACAGAGAGTCTTGGTTTGCACTGCCTACCTAGACATCCCATTGGTAAAAACTGCTGTCATACCCTTTCAGAAAACACCTTTCCAAAGAGGAGCCAGGGGCTTCTGGTGGCTCAGTGCCTGCCAGTGAAGACACGGGTTCGACCCCTGATCCAGGAAGATCCTACATGCTATAGAGCAGCTAAGCCCGTGCGTGCACCACAGCTGCTGGGCCTGCGCTCTCCAGAAGCCCTTGTGCCCTGGAGCCCACGCTCTGTAACCAGAGAAAATCCCATGCAGCAAGGAAGACCCAGCACAACCAAAAATAAATCAACAAAACTATACACAGCACAAGAAAAAGAGGAGCCAGAAAGCTTTCAAAGTTCCCGACACAAAATTGTAAGCGGTTCAGGATATTTTAAGCTATATTCAGAGAAGACATGGCATACCCTTTCTAAATTAGAAAATAAGTTTCTATTTATGGGAAGACATTTGGTTTCTGAGGATCGGCAGATAGCAATCATCTCGATTTCTATTACATGTGCAAATAGCCCCAGTATAAAGTGCTTATGCAGTTTCAAATTCGGCCTATTATAAATTATGCCCCAGGCTAAAACCCAACTTTTATAGGGTTCATTTAATTAAATACACGGGCAGTGATTGCATTCTGCAAAATATCACACCTGTTTTCAAACTAATTAAAACTTAGATCCCACTGGAAGCAATAGACGATCATAAAATACACAACGAAAAGTAAAAGGTTTCATGCCCGGATTGAGGTTGGGTTTTAAAAAAATCTTTTCTCATTCAGGAAATTCCTGTCTGTCTTAATTTATTTCAAATTTATAGTCTGCTCTGGGGCTCGATAAAGGGAAGGCCAACTTATCTAAAATGGAGGTATTATGTAGCTAAGAAGGAATATGGGTCTTAATGAACAAATGGTGTTCAAATTAATGTTTCTGTGAAAAGCACTGATTTTAGAGATGTGTGTGAAGAAAGGACTCACTTCAGAGATATGCATGGATAAGAACACTATACTCACAGAGACCTTGGCTCTGATGCAGTAAGAACTTAAATCCATGTGGGTGCATTTGGTCTGCAGTAAGGACCTCAGTGAGGTTTGTCCATGGGAATTACTCAATTACCTGCCCTGACATTATTTCCATAAGTTTGGTATGTCTTCAACTGGAAGCTCCTCTCCTTATCATATTCTGATCTCCCTACATGGATGAATGTATAAGCTGGATAATTCTCCTATTAGAGGAGTCTTCTGTCAAACTTCTGTCAAACTTCTGTCAAACTTCATGTCAAACTATCATGTTTCAAAATCCTTTACTTTACCCCCTAAATGTAGAAAATACCTGGCTACCAGTTTTTGACTGATAAAAAGATGACATGTCTGAAAGAAAGAGGCTAAAAATCATACATGTACACTATTAAAAATCATATATGTACTCTACTGAAAATGATTAGTAGTAAAATATTACAAGATGCTTTCTTCTCAGGTCAGTATCCTACCTTCATCAACAAAATCTTCCTTATCTCCTTTTGGAAGCTTTGATAGAGCATCACCCCTAAATCCCACTGTAAGTGCCAGGTTATAGGTGTCCATTAAATTACAGTGTATCTGAACCATTCTGCATCTTAAAATGAGCATGCAACTTTAACCTCATCTGAAAGCAGCTCAATACACAACAGGAAAGCCCCATTTTAAGTACTTGGAAACAAGGTGTTTCTACAGCTGAATCTGTCTGCTTTCTGGGTCCTGTAAATTCCTCTCTGAAACTTGAGTGTCTTTTCCAGGTACATATTCAATTCCTCTGGAAAAGAGATTGGTTTCTTGGTTACAAGAATGACTTGGTTACAAGTCATTTAAATATGGTCCTTTATATGCCAAGGTTCATCACTGTTCACTCCGGGAGGATGTCCTTGCAAATGTCTTCAACCATCCTTGCCCTTCTCTCATTCCTTCTTACTTATCTGCGAAGCCCTGGCCAATCCTCCTGGTCCAACCAGCTGCCTCACTGTTTCGACATGCAGATTACTGATGCTGGAGGACATTCCCACAAAGCGATGTCACTGAGGCAAGTGGGATGTCACCCTTCACAGCTTTCGGGAGATGTGTAAGTACATAGTTATTTGATTTTCTGTTAAGTGCCTGTATTTTCTCATGGGGCCCCAAGTTCCACAGGGCAAAAAAGCGTGTGGTCTGTTCAACTATAGGATGCCCAGAGGTTAGCACAGTGGCTGGCATGCAGGAGCCTCACGAATGTTTATCACCCAAGTGACCTATTTATATGTCTGTAGACCATCACATTCTCCTCATGCACACTTGTTGGCATTTCATGGCATACCTTCTACTTTTTGGAGAAAGAAAAATATATGAGGTCCAGAGAGGCCTTAGAGTGTCTATGAAGAATCAAGGCAGTCCCAGCTAAGCTCTCCTTAAGTCTCTGGGTTCTTAACTCACAGGTGACAAAGTGGGGCCATTGAAAGTAAAAAAAGAATCCCTGATCCCCAGTGGAGAGGAGAGACAAATGACACATCTATAGACCTCACAGGAAATGCAAAATTGCTTCTTTCTCTTCCTCAGACAACTCTCCCTCTTCCAGTAGTGGTGTGGACTCGGCTCTGAGCGCTGTGCCTGGGCCGGGTGAGCTGAGGGAGGGTGGGCAACGCGTCGTGCCCCCCCAGAGGAAGGAGGGCCCTTCTGTAACTCACAGTGAGAAGCAGAGGGCTGGCCATGCGCGGGCTCTGCTCCCCGGCTCAGGAGTCGGCTGCAGCGGAAGCACATGATGGCGTGGCCTACGGACACGTGCACTCGAGTCCTGGCCGTGCGGAGGGGACCGCTGGGCGCTCAGCTCCCTCACCCTGTGCCAGGAGGGTTGTCAACAGGGGTCTCCCCTGAGTATTTGCAAGTTGACGAGTCTGAGAAAGCCCCTATCAGCTCTCTGCGCGGCATCGCTCACCTTTGTACCTAATGAGTGACCAGAAGATGTGAGGTCGAGTACTGGAGCTTCTGGTGCTTCAGTCGTGATTCAGCGCCCTGGTGTGCCAGATGAAGACTTGGTCTACGCACTGTGTATACACCAACTCACACAATGATGAGGCAAGTCCTACTATCATCACCATGCGATGGGCATGAAATCAAGAGGCACAGACGGTCTGTGCATCTTAACACCTTCCATTAAAGATGCTGGTGGCTTTCCCCTTGAATCAGGAGACACATGCTTAGTTCAGGAAGTATTCATACTTCTTCCTACACATCAATTTTACTTCATTTAACCATCCACACTGGCATCTCCTGTACATACGTGAATGCTAAGTCACTTCAGTTGTGTTGGACTCTTTGCAACCCCATGGACTGCAGCTTGCCAGGCTCCTCTGTCCATGGGATTCTCCAGGCAAGAATACTAGAGTGGTTGCCAAGCCCTTCTCCAGAGGATCTTCCCAACCCAGGGATTGAACCTGCATCTCTTATGTCTCCTCCATTGGCAGGTTGGTTCTTTACCACTAGCACCACCTGGGAAGCCTGATCATGATTGCCTGGCATGATCTCCTGTGATAACAGCAAATACGGCCACACATAGAAGAAAGAAAGTATGGCCAGGTTTTTGCAAGCGTCACTCAAAGGTTTATGGAAACCATTTTATTACGTCATTTTCATCTGCTTGGTATGAACTTCATACTGGGCTCATAAGTCACTTGTATAAGTTAAATTTGTTAGCTGTTTTCCTCAAAGATTCAGGGCTGGCTGGCTAGAATAAAATTTTTACCCTCAAGTCTCTAATCATCAGAGGAAAAGATGTGTAGGAAGACACTTCCATCCACAGGACCACGGTCACACAATTTACAACAATATTTAATGATGTTCCGTGTCACCGCAGTCATTTAAGTTTTCAGTGAGGAGGGGCTTCTAACGTGAAGACAGGCAAGAACAGGCAGGAGTGCTATGTATGATGATGGTCCACAGTCAAAGCTAAAAACTGCAGCCCTAGTACCCACAGCCTGGGCTTCAGTGTTGGCTGTGTCACAGAGATGCTGAAGCATCTCAGGCAGGTTAACCTCTGGGGGCCTCAGTTTCTCTATCATTAAAATGGGTTTACAGCAGGACCTAACTCATTGGGTGGTGTCAGAGCTAATTAGGCTGTGTAGAGAAGGTAATCACGGCTCTGCACAGAGGGAGGATTCAACAGCTACTAAATCTCTGTTGTCCTCACTCGATTATAGAACTACTGGGGAACCACTGGGTGCCAGGCACTGATAACGTGGTAACCAAGGCCCAGTAACACTGGGTGAGGATGGGCACAGTTGGGGCTCTGGGATGAGATGCACGGGTGTCTTGAGTTCCTGCTCGGCCAGGCTGTGTGACTTAGGGTGAGTCACGCTACTCCTGTGCCTCTGGGTTCTCAGTTGGAGATGGGGGATATTTCAGCTCTTACATCTTATGTTTCTGTGACAACTGATCTTAGCACAGTGCCCAATGCTGACTGTTGTTTGAAAGTGAAAGTGAAAAAGTTGCTCAGTCATGTCAGACTCTTTGGGACCCCATGGACTATACAGATCATGGACTTCTCCAGGCCAGAATACTGGAGTGGGGTAGCCTGTCCCTTCTCCAGGGGATCTTCCGAACCCAGGAATTGAATCAGGGTCTCCTGCATTGCAGGCGGATTCTTGGCCAACTGAGTCATTGTTTACAACCCTACAAACCTGGACAGACTACCTACCTCTCCCCGTGCTTCGTCCCTAAGTGGAGTTGTGTAACTCTATTGAAGAGGGCTTAGAAGGCAGTCTGGCTCATAGTTACTGCTTTGTCCTGGGGAAGTGGCCCACCTGTGGTTCCTAAAAATTCCACCTGCCAAATTTCAGTAAAAACTTTACTGCAAAATTATGTAAGAACAACTCATAAACAAGGCTTTATGTCCCACCCACTGATGTGGAAAGAAGGCGTCTTCTAGATCCTGGTATCCCTCTCGGAGATGTGATACTCTGAACTCGCAGCTCTGGGTATCTGCTCTGTGCCAGGCACTGTGCCACATGCTTTACATGGACAACTGTGTCCAAGTCGCAGGAAGGTCAATGGTGAGGTGGGGGATATTACCTCTGCTCTCACAGATCAGGAAATAAAGTCCAAGGCGTGCCAGCAGCTTGCTCAAAGTCGCGCAGCTCATGAGCAGTAGAGATGGGATTTCAACCTGGTCTGCCCAACTTCAAGCGCCTGCTCTCACCACTGGACAGCAGAGCTGGAGTGCTGGGACCCAGCCTCAGCCTTAAAGCGAAGGGAAGTGCTACCGGCAGATTATACTGGCCCCAGGGCTTCCCAGGTGGCACTGGTGGTAAAGAACCCACCTTCCCCCCAAGAAGGGGTAAGGATGAAACAGAGTCATCAGCAAGAGAGAGGCGGAGGCACAAGATTAGGAACATGACTCTCAAATGGGAAGAACAAAGATTGTCGTCAAAGGAGAAAGTTCACTGGACATGCCTAGGTGCGGATGGGTGAGCTCCGCATGCTGGACCAGGTGGGCTCAGCTACCTGTCCTTTCTCAGGAACTCATGGTGGTGACAGTACCATGTTTAATGACATTCACTTACCCATCCCTTCCTACTTAACTGCAGAGAAGCTCAAAGGAGAGAGGAATCTATTTTTTTTTCCCCCTAAATTCTCTTCTTACTAAGTTGTCATGAAATTAAAAGATGCTTGCTCCTGGAAGATAAGTTATGAGCAACCTAGACAGCATATTAAAAAGCAGAGACATTACTTTGCCAACAAAGGTCCAACTAGTCAAGGCTATGGTTTTTCCAGTGGTCATGTATGGATGTGAGAGTTGTTCTATAAAGAAAGCTGAGTGCCAAAGAATTGATGCTTTTGAACTGTGGTGTTGGAGAAGACTCTTGAGAGCCCCTTGGACTGCAAGGCGATCCAACCAGTCCATCCTAAAGGAGATCAGTCCTGAGTGTTCATTGGAAGGACTGATGCTGAAGCTGAACCTCCAATACTTTGGCCACCTGATGCGGAGAGCCGACTCATTTGAAAAGACCCTGATGCTGGGAAAGATCGAGGGCAGGAGGAGAAGGGGATGACAGAGGATGAGAGATGGTTGGATGGCATCACTGACACAATGGACATGGGTTTGGGTGGACTCCAGGAGTGGAGGGAGTGGACAGGGAGGCCTGGCATGCTGCAGTTCATGGGGTCGCAAAGAGTTGGACACGACTGAGCGACTGAACTGAACTGAACTAAGTTGTCTCATCAAATTTTAGCATGTCTGAACTATGAACATCCATGTCCCAAGGCATTTTATGAAGTCCTGGCAATGGACCACCACTTAAAATAGTCCAATTAGGGCAAAAGTAATCTTCTTTTATAAAAAAGAAAACTCTTACCCACTAATGAAATAAGTAGTCTCAGACTTCTTGAAGCCTTTGAATCTTAAAGAGGAGTCAGGTCAAGAAAGCTAATTTTGATAACATGCTTACCGGCCTTAATGCTCTGCACTTTATTTGCTTCTTTTAACAAGATTATGAAATCTCCTAGCTATCTCTAAAGAACACGAAGGTCAGGTAACAAACCAATGTGTTCCAAAAAGAAAATCAAAGTCAAAAGTGGATTCACTATAAAATAGAATTTCTTGGCTGTCAGGGATTTGTGTAACCTCAAATCTGGTTGGGAACCTCAACAGTGGTTTGGAATTTTTTGGTTCTTTTCTGTTTGTTGTCAGTTTTCCATCCAAAGAAGCAAACTTTTGATGTATATCACTTAGATGAAAATTAATTTTGGCTCCTGTATCACCAACTAGTTCATCTAGTGATCTACAGACTGATTAGTAAAACTGATAAAATGACTGTGATAGGATCCTTGAAGAAAATACTGTAAAGACTAAATGTAGTTGTTGTTGTTTAGTCACTAACTTGTGTCCAATTCTTTTGTGACCCCATGGACTATAGCCTGCCAGGCTGCTTGGTTCATGAGATTTCCCAGGCAACAATACTGGAGTGGGTTTGCCATCTCCTCCTCCAGGGAATCTCCCTGACCCAGGGATCGATCCCACATCTCCTGCTTGGCCACCAGGGAAGCCCCCAATTAAATGTAGGCTTAGTGGTTAAAAATATCAGTTGAAAAGGGCCTGGTGTCAGCATGAAAACAAAACTACTCCTGAATTCTGAGAGAATGGCTACTTTTTCTTCTGTCTTTATAGAGTCACAATCATTAGCTGGCTTGTCCATAATCACCTTTCTAAATAAATTATGCCAGGTCTTCTCAAATACCTTCAATTTCCTACAAAGCATTTGTAAGAGGTCCACACCAGGGGAAAACTGAAAGCATAGCTGGAATTTGAAATGTCATTCAAACGCCCAAGGTACTTAGGCTGGAGTTCCTATCTGTGACTTCTTTGAACGAATGACATCTAACACTTCTGAGTATTTTCTATGTACCATACATGAGGCTTACGGATTGTACGTTTAATCACTTATTCGTGTGCAAAAACAGAATGACTAAAACCACAGTACATTTGTGAGTGAAAACAAATACAGAAGCTGCCCGAGGAAGACCACTGTCTGGTTAAGGAGACAGATGCTAATAATCCCATACCTGAGGGAAGGAAAGAGAACCTAGCAGGGACAGGGGTCAGGTGCTGGGAAGAGGGGACTCCTCTGAGAAAGAGATGTTGAGGGCAAACCAGAACAGCCAGGATTTACGTGGGGAAGAAGGGAGGAGACTGTATTGCAGATGAGACAGTAGCATGTGCAAAGTCCTGTGGCTGGGAGAGAACTGGTCCACCAGGCTCAGGATACATGACATGGAGATGCTTGTGTGAAGAGACTAGAGAGGTGGGGAAAGGTGCAGATCATATTACTCTCTGAGGCCGAGGCAGTGGAGTCCTCCCACTTTCCCCCATATTCCCAGTTTCACAGGAAGCTGAGATTTAAGAGAGTAAGTGACTTGCCTAAGGGTTCTATAGATATCAAACAGTAGTTTGGGGAGCTTGAACTTGGTCTCCTAACTCCAAATACAGCATTCTTTGAAAGGTGAAATACCTGCTGAAATGTGAGGATCAAGACAAACAGGGGCAAGTACCACTGTCCAAACCTTGAACTGAAGAGGGACCTAGGCAGGAGTCCTTGCTCCTCCTGGGGGCCTTTCCTCACGAGTTCCCGTGGATGCTGCGGACACCATGACAACACCTGCTGCTCCTGCCCTGCCCTAAGCCCCTAGTTACTACTGGAGACTTTGCTTCCTAAGACTCTGGAACCCTGTCTCTCTCCCCTTTCGCTAGAAAATCGTAAGAGGTTAGATTAGAAGAGGAAGATTGGCTTCTTTTGCTGATGGATTAAAAAAGCTACTCAGGGACTTCCCTAGTGGTCC